GACGAGAGCTTCCCATACCAAGCACAAGGGACACAGCAAATGATATCAGAGACTCAAGGGGGAGATTCTAATGTCTTTGCTTGACAGACAGACAGACTTTGGAAATGATGGAAAGGGCCCGTTGGATCTCCACTGGATCGGCTTTGACCATTCCCGACTCTAACGCGGATAAAAACTCCTCACGCACACCTGCGCACACACACACAGACACACACACACACACACAGTGTTGCATAGGCCGCGCACTGAGCCTCTGGAGCGCCTCTGTATACCTGTTTGCAACCGCTGTAGGCCCCCAATCGACAGCCGTGTTTCCGGAATGGCCACGAGCTGGTCCATGTCGTCCTCGTCCCACGAGTGGGGCTCCGCTACGGGCGTTTCCTCCACCGATGAGTCAAACGATGACCTCTCCATCATGGCCAGTGACTGCCTCCTCAACGTTCCCAGCCGAACAGCCATCGTGCTCTTCTCGTTAGTCGACGGATGCTGCTTCAAGTTGGCTCAGTGCTGCAACACACAGGCGACCTCATTCACGCGCACACCCATCCGTTCACGCGGCACACCTGATGGGCGACACCTCTCGAGGGGTGACACGTTGGCTGCTCTATGGAGCCTGGGTCACTCCTCCGCGTCTGACTCAACGCTCCACGCCCGTGTGTTGACTATCGATATCGTGATGTGAAAAATAGTATCAATTTGTTGCTTTCCTTCCTTCTTTCGCCCGTGAATTCCGGGAGCGGAGGGAGAGGCAAGCCGGGGGCCGCCAACAACCGGGGCCCCCACACGGGTGCCAGGCGGCGTTGGCCGGACTGGCCTTCGCTAAGGCTGCAGGCGTGACTTCCTTGCTGTGTATGTGCGTTCATCGATGAACGCTTACTTTTTGCGATTGGTACGCCCATCTCTCTGTGTCTCTCATTTTGGATCGGAGCTCCTTGGACACACCACTACACACCACCGGGCGCAGAGAATTGCGCAGGGAACAGAAGAGATCTGACACACTCACAAAGCCAGACAGACATAGAGACCGACAGACAAAGAGAGAAGACGCAGGCACACAAACGTGGCTGGCGAGTCACAACACGGCACAGGGACAGACACCACCGCACCATCACGACCAAGCCACCCACCTTCCACCACTATGTTTGTGTCAGTCAGCCAGTCATTCTACCTGCGGCGGCATTGGCCGCACCACACCATACACATTGCCCATCATCCTAGTGTGTGCGTTCAACTGCTTCTGGACCATCTGCACACACACACACACACACACACAAAGACACGCAGCCAGACCACAACACGAGTCTGTGTGGTGTGGTGTGTAATGTGGTGCGTACGTCGATGAGCCCATCCGTCGGCGCCCATGTTGGCGCTGCACTGGCCACCCTGACCCTCACCGCACACGCCCTTGCCGGCGCAGAAGGCCGTCGCCAGACTGACGGAGTTCCAAGACATCAACATGCCGAGCGTCACGGCAGCTGAACAAACCCACACAGACACGCACACAGGAGTCTCCACGGTTAGTTGGTGCATTAATATAACAACAGACAGACGCGCACAGGCCTGTCAGTGAGGCTTGGCGCCCCATGACGCCTAGCGGGGCGTCGGCCGGTGTTCATGTGGCGTGTTTGGTCCATGCATTTAGAGTGCATGGGCATGTCTAGATTGAGCACACGTATGCGTGTGTGGATGCACGTATTCATGCGTGCACTTGTGAGTAGAATGGAAGGGGAGGGGAAGGGTCGGGCTGTGATTAGATGGGAAACTCGAGAGCGAGGAGACAGCAGACACCTGATTGTGCCGTGCTTGAGACATTGAATGCAATGACTCAATTCGACCGATTGAAACCATCACAATCGATCAGTCCCACACAGATACGCACAAACGTTGGCACACATCACACGTCATGATGCGCCTGGCTGCAAGCTGTGTGTGTCTGTAGGCTGTTGTCTCATGACAATGGACGTGTTGGTGTTCGTAACATGCATGCAGGCCGCAGGCTGAGGGGCAGGCCGGACTCATGCATTAGTGCTCACCAACACTCCGCTCGCCAGTCTGTTACTCATTCCGCCTGTCTGCCCACATCAGTCTGAGGTCGATGGTCTGAGGCCGCTGCCGACGCGTATGTGTTGGCCAGAACCCCGCCAAATGGAAGCTGACGGCGGGTAACGCGCTGATGACGGCGGTGCTGGAGTGCCCAGAGGGAGAAGAAGTGCTGTACAGGAAGACAGACGAGTTGACTTCATCTGCGCCAACTAAATGTTGTGTCTGCTGTCCGATCTGTTGGCACGCACAATTGATGGCTCTCAAGGTGCTGCAGTCGCATCTCATGCATGCAGCTAGTATACTACTGCAGGCATCATACGCAGTGTGCTGAGGGGGGTACGGGAAACGCCATGTGTGCATCCATGTGATTTATGGCTCTTGGGTGTGCTGTGCCTCTTGGGTGTGCTGAGGCTCGCGCAGCACACATCTCATCTATCTAAACCCAAGGTGGCGTGATGTCGTGTGTGTACAGAGACCACCTTTTTGCCTCTCGTGTGGTGTGCGCTTTGTACAGTTTTAATGCATGTTGACATCAAACCTGCATGGATGGCTGGATGCGTGTGCGGACTCGTCGCTTTCAAACTGACACCATAACCGGCTAGTGTGTCCCTGTGTGTCCCCGTGTCCATTCATCCATCCACACACGGCGACGCACAACAGCGGACAGACGGACAGGAGACAGGCGATCACGCAGCATAATGAAACACACCAGGGACACCGAAAGGGAGAGAGAGGACTCATCCAGTCAGCCAAGTCGTTTCCTAGCTAGCTAGCAAGACACAATCCATCCATCCATCCGTGACCGGCCATGAGATTATCAGACAGACCGACAGCTGCACACACATGGATCGATCGAGCAGGCCAACCGTTCACAAATCACACACATCCACACACACGTCCATGAATGATGCGATGCATCCTACCATCCGGCCGGCCGCGCAAACTTATGGACAAGGCAGCCAGGCACCCATGCAGCGAACGAATCCATGTGTGTTGTGTTGTTGTGTATGTGTGACCTCCTCCCCCCCCCTCTCTCTCTCTCTCTCTCTCCCTCTCTCTCCTCGCCCCTCTGTCTACCTGTAGGAAGTCCCCTGTATGTACATATTCATCCGTTGGCTGCAACAGACACCACACAAACGCACACACACAACAGGCGGGAAGCCATAAATTGACAAGCGGGGGCGCTCTTACTTACCACGCATTTACCCTCCGCTGCGTCGCAAACGCAGCCGGCTCTTGCTTCGGAGCGGAGGCGACCGCATTCAGCTCCATCAATCCTCAGAGTTCCATCCTCCCGGCCCTGGCACTCTTGGTTATTGTACTCGTTCGTGCACGCTGACGCACACACTCACAAACACACGAACGAGCGCATGAATGGAGTCCGCACATATCATGAGTTAGTTCGTTACGTACGATTGTCGTCCTGCTCGGCGCTGCGGTCCACTTCGAGCGACTCGAAGGCATCCCACACTGCCTCGCTCGGGAGATCAGCCGGGAAGTTCCTGAGAGAGCAAGAGAGTGAGGGAATGTGCTGTCGCCCTCGGCTCACTTACCGTGGCCCCTTGGTGATGGATGCCATCTGTCGGTGGGCGCTGTTGATGCTGTCGAGGGCGGTCTGGGCCATCTTGTTGGCCTCGTCGCCCATCTTACGGGCCGTGTCGCCCATCTTGTTGGCCGCCACCATCATGGTTTTGGCCTGCTGCACCTGCTGCTGCGCAAACGACAACGCACCTACACACACACAACACACAGACGCACACGCCATGGAGCACAGATGCATCCATCCATAGATGCATTCCATCCCTTACCTGTCTTGCTATGGGTGCAGGTGGTCTCCAGGTGGGAGATCTCGCCACTACGCCCGACAAACGACGCACCTGCACACAGCGGACAGGTAGGTCAGCCACATGTGAGCCAGGAGTGATGTGTGGGCCATAGATCTCCGTCGCGCAGGTGCATTCGCCCACCAGAGAGGTCGGTATCGCAGTCTTTGCCAACGCAGTCGCCCTTGCGGGTGGCAGAGTCCACCACCACAGCCGATACGGTCGCCAACGCAATGAGGACCGCATACTTGCTCGCCATGACCGTCATCGCTGCCAACAAGCCACTACTTATCGCTATCTCGGATGCGCAAACGTCAGCAAACGATGCGCACACTTTCTCTCAGCAAACGCAGAGAAAGCGAGAGATTTGTGGGGAAACTCGCTTTTGGTCGCTGTTTTCTTTGCTTGTAAATCTGTGTGGCTGAAGGAGGCTCAGAGGCAGGGGGTTGGGTTATGGTGCTTCTCGATTCATGCTTTGCGCACCTGGCTGAAACGATGGCCGAACGCTTCTTGCAATCGTCATGCTATCAGGTGCGCATACACGGACAGGTACAGCCTTTTTCCTGGTGTGCAAACACCTGCAGGAGGTCCCCCCTGTGGAGAGTCCCCCAGACAGACCGCATGAGATGCCAACAGTGCGATGTGCACGCCCCAGCAGTAAGGACTCGGAGACGGCGCGCACACCATGCCAAGGCCGATCGACTGACCGGCTTGCGGACCACGAAGTCGACTGCCGGCCTTCGGCAAGCAACGACACGCTTGTGAGTGAGGTATACGGTCACACAGACAGACAGACAGACAGACAGACCCTGTCGCAGTCGTGCAGGTGTTCATGAGCTGTTTCTGCTGTGTGTCTGGGTAGTATGAGCAGCACGATGTCATAGCAAGCCAGAGCCACAGCAGAGAGCCCGAGTAAGCACATCCGGGCGACACCGTGGTCGGGCGCATGTGTACACATGCATGTTTGCGTGATCGATTGCAGTCTGTCGTACAAAGACGAATCGAAGCGGACCGATTTGCCCAATCTCCTCGACGTGTTCACCCTCAAGCCACAAGAAGACCCCAACCAGGTCTATCTATATCAAGCACCTCCTGCCAACGGCACAGGGGCGCCAAAAGAACCGAAACGGGCGGCATTCGAGGAGAACAACGTAGCGGGATTCATTTTGGTGACCAAGTGGGGCGTCGGGCTGCGCGGCCCAGAGCGAGTCGCAGAATGATTTGGTGGCTTGCGTCAACAATATGACATCAGGTTCGAGTGTCGACACACACACAGTCAGGACTGGTTGTATGCCTTCTTTGTGTGTGTGTGTGTGTGTGTGTGTGTGTGGCCCGCCAGCTGTCATGCAGGCAACTTTGGGCGAATATAGAATGCGCCACGCACAGATTGCCAGCATTCACCTTGCTGAACCAGATCTGTACGCAGACAGACTAAACAAGGAATGCATTCCTCTCCCATTTCATCGCTTGAATATTCAATGCGTCTTGCCAGCTGGCCGTGGCGCGAGACACTTGACGAGAGCGCTCCCAAGTGGGCTGACTACTACTTGGTGAGGGCCCCACCGCGCAAGCAAGGGGTACATGAACGTGGCTTTGTCCATGTCTTTGCTCCCCCCCTCTGTGTGTGCGTGTGGTGTGTGTGTGGAACAGTTTGCCGTTGGCGCTGAGCAGCTTATCACTCTGCTGTACCAAAAAAGCGACTCATCTGGAAAACCTGTAGACAGGCGATTCGAGCCCCGAACACGGTGATGGCCGGCACGTACGCAAGATACAGCCTTTTCTGTCTCGACCTTTGTTTGTGTGTCTCTTAGCTTGCTCTACTACCCACAATGCCTCCTGCACCCATCTGTCAGCGCTTCCTCGCCATCGACTTCCCCCGACTTACTCTCCACTTGTCGGTGTCTCTGTCTGTCTGTCTCTGTGGATGCAGGAGGGGACATGCGACAATAGAACCCATCCTTATCCCTTCTCAGGCAAGCCTTCCGCTCACACACAGCAGACTGCTCTAAGCCAGCACTCAGCAGCCAACTCATTTCTTCCACATTGGCTTTTGGAGGCCGGCGGCTTTTATCCCGCAATAGTTTCTTGGTAGACACAGAGGCGCGCCGTCACGAACAGTGGGTGAGATCGAAATGCCTTAGGTTCGAGGAGGCGGAACGCTTCTGGACCAACTGAGTACTATGCGAGCACCGGAGGCTCGATATGACAAATAGTGTGTCTATGCCAGGTCTATACGAGGAGGTGACGAGGAGATACAGACCGTCTGTGCCTCTACGCTTCAGTCGTGCTCTTCCGAACAGGTCAATCCATACAAGGAACAAAGCTTCAGCCCTGATTCGGTCGTGGAGGCAAGACAGCACATCTCGCTCGACGGCCAAACAGGCGAAAAACGGCTCAAGGCCTGCATTGAGAGGTTGGAGCGGCAGGCAGAGGGCCTTCGCAAATTGCAAAGCGGCCAATCTGGGACGACCTCTGCGCCCGTCTTCCATGTGGAGAGACAGGTGAGTGGTGCTCGCATCAGCACACCCACACACGAATCGTGAGCGGCTCCATGAATGTTCAGGTGCGGGCCTGGCTCCCGCCTGACTACTGGTATGGCCGTAGAGACACAGGGCTGCAGAAAAAGAGAATCTGTGGGTCAACTTAAGAGGTGGATTTACAACAGCTTGAGGTTTGATCTTGGCAACGCTTGTAGGCTCCCACAATCCCACAATCCCACTGACACACACACACACACACTCTCTCTCTTATGACTGGTGCCTATTCTATGCTTTTCCTGACTGTCTACCAGTCGAAACTCTAGAAGACTTGTTCATTGAGGTGAGCCAAGAGAGACAGACAGAGAGCGAGATGAATCATGAGTCATGGCTGCGTGCAGGAAGCTGACTCAGACCTTCTAGACCACGGTCGGCGCGACCGACATAGCACACATGGCCGTCGCCTATGCCACCGTGGTGCAGAAACGAAGTTGTGGATTTTGGGCGCTGTTGATTGGGCTTTACTCCTGCTGGCTGCCATGTTCGCGCACTACCTTTTGTAAGGTCACAAATAAGCATCGTGTCAGCCTGCACATGTGCTTGTCTCCTATAGATTCGAGTGGTGCAGGAAAGATTTAGTATTCTTTGGAGAGGCACACGACGCCCGTTCATTTTTGTCCGCCTCAGTGTCTCCATCCTGAGAGTTCTGCCCGTAGAAGACATAGACGTATGTCAGCCAAATGCACAAAGCGAACATCCGCTCTTTTTGTGTTCCTCAGCAACAAAGGCTTTTTGACCGCTTCAACATCGACCTTGAGGTCGCAGGCAGCCTGTACTCACACGTGTGCATTTCAGCCACAAGCTTCTCTCTGTCTGTCTGTCTGTCTGTATTTGTGTGTTTGCAGAATGAAGCGGGAAGCAAGGGAAGCGAAGCTACAGTGTGACCAATTTTTCAGGGCTTTTCACCAATTGTGGTCAAGGTTGTGGTCAAGGTGGATGCCTCGAAGTGGCACTTTCTTTATTCGCACAGACCGTTCTCATGCACTGACCTTTTTGCGTTATTTTTCAATATGAATACAGATGATTTTCCCCGGACAATTGGTGGAAGTACTCAGGTGGCGAGTGGTGGGGCAATTGCAGAGAGACGCCTACAGACCGTCGAGAACCACTGTTTCTTTCACTCACACAAACCGGCAACTCACTCAGCGAGCCCGCCATGTGGAAGATGCCTGTGATGCGATGGCCTTGGCGCATGAGACGCTCCAGCGCCTCTGACACTCGTCCCTGGAGGCCACGTCGCACGTGAGAGGCAACACAGCCACAGCCGCAGCCGCCGCTCTGTCGCCGTGCGTGTCACCCTCCGCCTGCATTATCCACACATGTTCGCAACAAGGCGAGAGACCTTGTGGAGGTGAATAGCAGAGGGAAAAGGTGGCCAGCGAATCCATAATGTGTCTGTCCGTTTGTTTCTTGGAACCGTGATGGATTGGAATCGATTCGTCACTCGTGTCTCAGTCAGTCAGTCTTTTTGCAACATTGTTGCATCGTGTCGTTCGGCCATCGTTCGGTGTGACAGTCTTCATCTCCAGTGAAGCTTGGTCAATTGGGCTGGCCCGAATAGATGCGACTCTGTCGGCTTCAGGCACCCCATTGAGGGCTCCTCGGAGTCCCTTGATCGAACGATTTTTAAAACCTTTCAAATGTGACGAAAAACAGTTTAAAATCGTCAAACCCCACCAGACATGGATTGCAACGGCATTGATATTTGAACGAATGGAGGGCTCACACGTGAATGATGGTCGTGTAACTAAGTGTGAGAATAGCTTATGGATTCTGTGTCGTCAGGAAGGGTGGATGAGCGAACCTCAAGGGCTTTACATTGAGACATCAGTTTTCCTCGTTGACAAGTTCGCTTCTTTCGTCTCGTCGTTGCTTTGCATTTCCATCACATTCGTGTTCTTTGCTCAAAAGAAAGGATACGTTATGCAATTGGAATGTGAACCTTTCCGCCTCCGCCTCCGCCGCCTCAGATGTTTTCTTCTTGTACTTTAGTGGGGGCCTCTACTGTAGGGCGTTGCTCTTTTGCGGGACTTGCTTTTCTTCTTGTCGGGTCCTTCAAGTGAACAACAAGACGCTCATCATTCATAGGTAGAAGGGGCTGTCCGTGTCTTGACGATACCTGCAGACGAGGCAGCTGCTCGATTCTCTGGTCCCAAGTACGCTTTCAGTGAGGGAGGAGTGGCCCTGGTAACCACCTATGTGGATATGTATCCATTCTTAATAAACATATGTATGCGATCACAGTGTCAGTGTGATCACACATTTTACCTTGACTTGTTCCAGGCCCGTCTCCAGCAGCCAGTCAAGATTTGCAGCATCGTCTGCATGGTGCATCACAGATAGGGAGGCGGAAAGCATCACACAGGCCTCCACCGATTTCTACAGCGCCCACAGATGGGAGTGCCTTTGTGCCAGCCCATGTCCTCGTAGCACGCTTTGCTGTCGTCGTCTGAGGAGCACACCACCTGCATATACAAATATAGACACGACGCACACCGAGTGCACATTAGACTATGCATGAAGGTATAGGTGCGCGGCCGAGTGGTACCTTTGCTGATTTGGGTAGGGTCGCGGCCAAGGCGGAATTCACGATGTCGTGTACCTGATGCACATAGACCATGCATTGATATACACTCATCTACTGACTGCGCAATGATACTGAGTGGGCACCCTGCACCATAAGTTACCCAAGGACTCGTTGAGCAGCTGTCGTGTTTCCCTGGTTCAATCCTTCCAGATGGAGGGATGCCACGTAGGCCGTCTGGAAACCGAAATTCACTCCTGTGCCTGCGGTATGGCGAAAGATGATGAACAGCGTCTGTGCATACATGCATATGTATGCGGGTCGCTTGTGCGCACCGGAGAAGAAATGGACGTTGATGAGGCTGTCTCCAATCAAGTACACCTCGGTAGCGCCAGCTTCTCCTTTCAATTGAAGTAAAGCCGCACCGCTGCAGGCATAGATACGTATCTAGCTGGAGTGGCTGCCTTTCTTTGCGCATGTATGTGCATCTGTGGAATTCACGTACCCGGGGATTGTCTTCACATCGATAGGGAACCCAGATACGTCAATTCTCTTCACTACAGCCATGTACACGCCATCGATGCAATGGAATGAATTGAGCCGCATTTCTTTCTCAGTCTGTTCTCTATTCACTCACTTACTCAGATCCTGCGACAGATCATAGGATGAGGGGGCTTTGAGCGTGACGACCGATGGCTTGATGCCATATCGCGGGTCTGCATGCAGCTCAATTGCGGAGGAGAGTAGTAGCCAATTGCCTCCAGGATCCTCTCTCGCAGCAAATTCAGATGGTCATGCGTAATCTTGGAACCAGGCCGAGGAACGCGAAACGCGCTGTCTGCGTTCGGTGAAAAGACGTCGTACAGGCTCAGACCCACCTTGGCCCCATTGTGGGTGCTGCATCGAGAAGACGCATGCATTTAGACTGACAAACTAATCCACATGGATGCATGCTTTCATGTTTTGCACTTCGTCTACCTTTTCAGATTCTTTAGTGCGGTGACTGTATCAAGGTACGTTGGGGGCAGCTGTAAGGCCACATAGTGAGTCCCTTCCCTGGTGCGAAATCACTCACGTATAGATTCGAGTGATGCAGGAAAGGGAGGGAACTGCCTTATTACCTGGTTCGGAAGCCGCGCGTCCTGTGCTGCGGCAAGTGGCCCTTTGAAAATCGGTTTAGATCGATCGCATCCGCCTTTTGCAGCACAGAGGTCAGCAGGTTCTGCAAATTGCGCACATAGCGTACACATTGCATGAATCAGATAAGGCCCTCGCCCCGTCTGCGCACCTGGCGTGAACTGTCCCAGAAATGCAAGCTTCGATCGTCCAGGGGGCTCAGGGAGCCGCTCAGGTTGCCAGCAGCGTCGCCTTGGTATAACTGATACAACCCATTCCGCATCATCCATTCGAAACCAAGCTCGTTGTCGCCGGCATCGGTCAGCCACCCAAATGGCACATCCTGTCGGCCCATTTTCTCTGCCACCTACGTGCCATAAGTACATAAGTGCATGTCAGCAGTGAGGCAATGAGGCCTTGGGCCTTAACCTGCAGAGCTTCGCTCTCGGTAATGTCGAACATCAAAAGTACTCCGGCAGAAGAATACTGCAAGGCCTGGTGGAGCTCTGAGTGTAAGAGTGGAGACGAGGTCGAAGGGGGCGGCACTTGACCTACGAGGTAAGGGAGTAAGTAACACGTAATTGTAGGAGCACTCAAGCGTATGCCTATGTCCACGTGCCTATGTACCTGCCGCCTGTCGCATCAAATACGACATCGTACCGCCGCATGATGCCGTCATAGACGCAATGGCTGAGGTTATCGGGGTGCGACTGAATAATCTTGCATAGCTTGAGAAGGCTTCTTATGCCGGCCATGAACGTGATGTCAGAAGAGGCTCCGGCAGCGTTGGGCTGAGGTGTGTACTTCGCTGACTCAGGCATATTGAAGATTATCATGCCTGAAGCGTACATGCACAGTCGGATGACTCTCATCGCTCTCGTGTCGTGTCGTGTCGTATAGCGAATGCAAGATTACAAACCTTTACGTAGAAGGGCTTGCAGCAGTAGCGTTTGCAAAGTACCGATCTTGATCGACACACCTAGAACACAGATACGTTGAGACAAGTGCACGCGAAGCTCTCTATCTCTCCTTCGTCTAAACCGACTTAGGTGTTTGTATTTGTCATCTCCTTGAACATCAGCAGTACATTGGGTGGACCAGTCAAAGGGGGGCAAAGGGTCTTTCATCCGGCACCCATACTGAGTCAGGACAGCATCGTAGCATATAGGTTTTGTATACTTGTCGTGCATCAACGTGCTTATATACCCAAAGAACATCAAGGTAGAGCTGACGATCGAGATTCTGGAAGAGCTGCATCGTGCCGGAGACGAAGCCAAACTACAAATACAATGAAAATGTATGGATATCGTTCTTATCTTATCTTTCTTCTGCACGTCACACACGCGCATGTTTGAACGTTCATAAGTACATCATCCGTACCGGCTCATTTGCTTTTTCTTTGCCCTCTGGAGTGAGCAACAAGACCTGTTGTCTGGCCACCGCGTCTTGAAGAGACCTCTTCTCGATGATTGTGATGAGGACGGGACCTTCTTGCGTGTATGCCAGCTGGAGGGCCTGGAGAAGACCGACTGGGCCCGCACCTGAAAAAAAGACGTGCATCCGTTAATACATACACATGGTCCGATAGATGAAAGGCTCGTGCAACGAACCAATACCAAAGATGAGAAAGCGCTTGACGCCTCGGCGGCCTTGCTCGCGGAAGTACTCGGCGACGAATTCATGTGCGTCAATCGGTTGCGGCTTTTTGACATACGCAAGGTCTGACACGGATGGAACCCCTGCAAGCATCTGGACCCCATTAGTCTGAGCGTAAGAGTGATTATGTGGGTGATCCGCTGCAACTCCAACCGCCTGTAGGGTGACCAGGCATTGCAAGCAAGTGAGCATTTTGAAGAAAGATACCGACATCTCTGCAAATGAGGCCGTGAGGGGCTGCCCTGTGTTCGCGTTGCCCCCAGTACGCTCTTCTGCCTTCCGAACGCATGCACTATGCGCATGCAGTCTCGGCCCCCAGCGGCCAAGAAAGTATATTTCCCGTAATTTCTAATCATATTGTGTGTCGGCAGTGCGTGGGATGTGACTCCACCGCACTAGATGCGCCACCCATGGCACGATATGACTCGCATCGAAGACCGCGGCTCTCTTGATTAGAGGAACTTAAAGGAAAGTCTGCTCTACCGCATACCCATTGCTCGCCTTCAGCCGCTACCATCGACCTAACCCTCGAGCCAGAGTACGCGGGCCCCCCAGAGGACCCGTCTGTCCGTCTCGCCCGGGACCAGCAGAACAAGGAGTGCGAGGGCGCCACGGAGAGCTTGTCGGATGCCTGCTTGGCGAGGGGCTCAACGCGAAGCAGTCCGATTCTCTTTAAATTTGCAGAGGAGCAAGTCAGCCACGGTGAGGGGCTCTGCAGTCGCAGGCAGATCCGATTCTCTTTTGCAGAGGTGCAAGAATGAACCGAGCTCTTCGGCCGCCGCTGCTGCTGTGCTGCGCCTCCCCCTCCCACGACACCGAGATGCCCGAGCGGTTCAAGACAGTTGAGCTGTCCGGACTTAGCAACGCCGACATAGTGGCGATATTCGCGCACGATGAGGAGCTGCGGGACCTGGTGGACACTGCTAGGACGGTAGGTACCTACACTTGCCAAGAGAGAGGGATGGATGGATGGATGGATTGATGGCGTGTAAGGAGAAGATGAATGGTGCGACGTTTGCTGCAATCCTGGACACCGACAACATGACTGTGCGCAAGGTGAGCGACGAGGTGCTGGGCAGCCACATCAAGCTCGGCGAGGTCGCCCTCATCGTCAGATGGCTCAAAGGCATCGATCAAAACGCGGTCAGTCAGTCAGTCAGTGGTACAAATATATGCTTTGAGCATAAGGGCTGCGGATCGCCTTTCGTCCATGCAGGTACAGGTGCCCCTCTCGACGTAGGCGATAGCTGCAGATGCGCATCCAGACCACTGCATCGATCAGGTGAGGGATGTCCGCACACACACACCACGACACAGCCCCACATGGCCACTGTGGCCATCTTCGATCGTGTGCAGGTGGTGTTCTGTTCGAGGGCTGACGACGTAGCGATAGCGTTTTTCGGTCTTCATAGCCGGGTTTAGAGTCGAGAGGTGCGGCATAGTGGGTGGGTGGGTGGCATGCCGGCTGCTGTGCATAGGTCTGTCTCTCTCTTGTGTATGTGACGCATACGTTTTTGCATATATAAAGATTTGTGTGTCGGGGGTGCCTGCACGCGATGCGTCGGCGTATAGCACGCGAGGATTGGACAGCTCGTTCAGCTCATCCAGTGGTCTGAACGTTTCATTTGATGGTCCACCCATTGAGTCTCGATTATCGAAGGGCGCCCTCCGCTCTCCCGGTTCCAAGAGGCAAATAGCCGTGAAGGAGCGCCGTTTTCCTCAGATTTTCCTGCTTTTTGGCAGCTCCATCCGCAGCTTTACCATCTGTACACTAGTTGCCCCTTCCGTTTGCCTCAATATGGACGTGTGTGTCCTTATCTGTGCTGCATCAGGAGCCTCCACAGCCATTCCACTTACTGACCTCCCCTCACCTCGCCTATCTGTCTGTCATATCAGCGGCCCTCCTGGCTCTCTCTTTCCCTGCCGTTCTCTACATGAATTGATGGATGGATGTTCGTGTTTGTGGGGGCTTGGTGGACTTTCACTCTGCCTACGATGCAGGGAAGTTGACCGAGGTCAGCCTGGCGGCTGTGCGCCACTTGCGCAAGAGAACCCCAACTATTGAGAAACACCGTTGTGCCCACACGTTACCGACAGCAGATAGCCCGTCACCCTGACACACACACAGGCACACACACACACACACAGAGGCACATGCATTATCTCTGCTCGGTCATGTGTCGTGTCTTGCCAGCCGCACCCACCTAGGGTCGATCTGCGGCGGCATTTCCGAGCCCGTCAGTTCACCGGCCGGCCACCCCACGTGTGCCCCCGCCTCTGCTGCTGCTGCTGCTGCTGGTGGTGGTTGTCCTGCTGATGTCCTGGTCGATGCCCACCCCTGGGACGGCCTGGCGGCTTTTGTGGGTGTGGTGGTGGTGGTTTGTGGGGGCGAGTAGCAGGGCGAGGGCGTGTCGACAGATGCGACTGGTGTGGGGTGCTGGGTGGCCAGCTTGAAGAAGCGGAAAAGGGTGGAGATGAGGTCGTCCAATGCGGTCAAGTCGGACAAGACCTGAGAAAGGCAGCGAGAATGATGTCGTTGGTCCCTGCCATCCGTGTGTGCGGCGTGCGCACCTCCTGCAGAAGTGGGTGTATGGTGCTGCCTCCGCCCGATGGTGACATCATCTGCTCCCTCAGCCTTTTGGACCGCTGCTTGAACTCACGACGCACCAAATACGTCAAACACCGCGACCGACGGCTCCAAACACACAAGACACCATACACCCCAACCACACATATATGGACGAGTTCTCCCTCCCTCTCTGCCTGCCTCGACCCTAATCTCTCGCCCTCATTTCTGACAGCATGAGCTGAGCCACCCGATGTGCCCTGTTGCTAGTGACGCCATCGACAACCTCGCTGTCGATGAGAGAATGGTGGCGCAGCCCATCGACGGAGGAAGAAGAGGGGTTGCTGGGGGGGCGGGCTCGGTCCGACCGCCGTGATCTCGTCGATCTCCATGGCGTCGGCGTCGAAGGGGCAGGCGTGGTCGCGGATGCTGCCGACCGGCACGCTCCCCCACACCTGCAGGTTGGCCAGGAAGGAAGCATCGGAGCGCAAACACCCTGACAGAGATTGACCAAGACACTCAGATGGAACCGTCTCTCTCTGTCGTTTGCTGGACTTGTCTCTGGGTTTTCTGTCTCTGGGTATTCGGCCGAGCAGATCCGGCGGACCGCTCCAGAGGCGCCCTCCCCCTCACCCAGCTCGTGTTCCTGGCGAGGGGGAGCTGGGGGGCCACGAGAGGACAGCCGACAGACAGCACGGAGTGCTTTCTCAGAGGGAGATGTTGGTCATGATGCGTGGAGCACATGTCGGGATGGTGGATATGAAGGCATCCCTTCATTGATTTGTCCTTGCATGGATCCATGCACCGTGTTCATCATCATGACCATTACACGGACCACTTGTAACTGTCGATTTTGGGCGGGACGAGTCGTTGACGGCAGCTTTGGCGATCTTTCTCAAAACCACACAACACACATAAAAAGTAGTTCCATCCATTGCCCGCACACTTCTCAGCACAGCAGCAGCGCACAGCAGACCCCAACACCTCAGGGGCGTCCAGGACGAGCGAAAAAGACGGTGAATTCGAAAACGGCACCAGAATCGGGGAACGCACCAAGACAAACAGAGACTCACAGGCCGATGGCCAGGCTTGGCAGCCCTGCCTGGCCACACGAGCGCATGCGTTCCTCAGCGACCCAGCGCGCTGGGGCTCGAACACACCCAAATTCTACCACTAGACACCCTGCCTGGCTACAGATGCTCGGATGGACACATCGATGCATCGAGAGACACCCAGATCGGATCAGACAGACACGCACTGTATGTGGTGTGCTGTTGGCTTATCATGGGGTCTCAGGCCATCACAGCCGCACCGCTACAAGTGGTGTGTGAGAAGAATGTAGTTGATACAGTCTGTCTGCCTGCCTGTCTGCCTCGCCTCGGACAGACACCGACACACACCAAAATGACCGACAAAAACGACTTAGGGGTTTGGGGTGTAGGGCAGCCACTCATTCATACACTCGAGTAACCAATATCGATACACTCCACTCCATCCATCCATCCAAACCAACAATCAATCAGAGAGGCCCCACCCTTCAGTCTGTCTGTTTCCTGCCTGCCCCCGGAAAGGGGAGCCTAGAGATGCGAAGATTATGAGGCTGACAGACAGAGAGGGGCATAGAAAGAGGAGAGAAGAGGTGGAACAGCGGCTCTGAGACGTCGGGAGAGCGAAGAATGACGGAAGGGCACCGAGAAAGAAAGGCGGCCAGACAAGCGGACAGCAAGAGGGACTCAGCCAGACGCACGATAGAAACAGCATGACAAAATTAGCGACATTGACAAAAACCGCGTTAAAAGAAACAACCGCAGATAGAGACAATGCAGCAACGACAATCCCATGACAAAAAGTCGCATGCACACATTCGCAGACAGGTCAAAACAGCGCAAGATGAAAGGAAGTACCCATTCAGCAGAGAGTAGGTCAGTCAGAGGGTGTGTTTCGGTTGATGCGCATGGCCGGCCCGCCCGCATAGATCAGATAGATGGGAGCCATGCAGGCAGGCAGGCAGGTTCAATTACTTACCTGGCTCTGCTCGCCTCGCTAGCCAGAAGAGATCAACATACAGCCTCGCTCAATCGATCGATTGCTTAAACGTTCAGGACACACACAGACAGCGAGACAGAGAGAGAGACAGACAGACGGACAGACAGACAGACAGGGAGACAGACAGACGGACAGACAGACAGGGAGACAGACAGACTAGATACACTATCCCTCTCCATCTGCCCGGCCCTCTTACACCGCAATACATCCATAC